ACCTGCCCAGTGCCTGGCTTCTGTGGGTGGCCTTGGGCTGACGGGGACCTTTGGGGGTGGGGTCGCCCGGACAGGGTGGACGGGGGCTGGGCTGCCCAGAATAGCCGCACCTGAAGGTTTGAGTGTATGCCCAGTCCTGGAGTCCAGGGCATTGAACCCTCCTCTGGCAGGGCTGTGGCTGTGAGGTTGCTGGGTGGCAGCAGTGACCCCTAAAGTGCCTGTCCCCAATGGGATTCGGGGGGCTGGTCAGGGATGTGCTGGGCTGCTCCCACTGCCCAGGTGTGGGGTGTGGGCAGAGAAGGAGTGATCTGCACCCCCACACACACCCACCACAGGCTGGCTGTTTTCACCCCCAGTTCCTGACCGCCAGACCCACAGAGCCACATATGGGGAGGGGCACTTCTCCCTCTGCCAGGGGTCTCTGACCAGCTCCCACAAGATAGGATCCCCAGGACAGCTTTACCCACAGTAGTGAACACTGGGGATTCGGACCAGAGCCCAGATGCTCCTGTGGTCAGCTTCCTTAGCTGGACAGGGAGGGAAGCCGGGGGACAGGGGGAGGAGAAGAACAGGTGGAGACAGAGCCCTGGCTCCCGCATGAGGGCTACAGGTGCAGTTATTAGAGATGACCCAAGGCCACCAGGAGATCCAGAGACCTTGAAGCTGGGCAGGTGGGTGGGAGTGGATGGAAGGGGGCAGAAGCCAGTGCCGGGACCCCGCCCCCTTCTCAGCTGGAGCTGGAGATGGAGAGGCAGAGCTGCATGGGGACAGAGCGTGTGCTGCTCACACTTCTCTAGAGAAGCAAGCAGGGTGGCTCTGCGGGCTGGCTGCTGGAGGAGGGGCAGGAAAGGTTGGGAGTATGCAGAGCCCAGCAGGGAGCTCTCCAGTGAGAGCATCTTGGGGATACAGCCTCTGGTGATCTGGTCTGGGCAGGACCAGGTCCTAGAGCTCCCTGAACCCCCAGGGAGCCATCCGTGTACAAGGTCATGGCAGGTAGTGACCCAAGAGGCAGAGCTATGGGGAGCATTTGTCCCCCTAGGACTGGGGCACTTGTTTCTGGGGCCCAACTCTCCCTCAGCGTCTTCCCTCACACGGAGCGGGCAACAACGCCGGGTGGACCAACATGTACAGAGAGGTGAAATCAGAGCTGCGGGCATCAGGTCTCAAGGGCCCAGGTGGTTTGCCACAGCCCAACCCAGCCAGGCCCAAGGGCAGCCCAAGCCAGGGGAAATGGGAAAGGATAAGCCTCGGGACTGGCCCCATTGATTCCCCGGGAGCAGTTGACCCCAAGGCATCCCTGTCTCAGGGAAAAAGGCCACCCATCCTGGCCTGGACTCAGCTCCGCACAGCTCCATGACCCCACTCTCATGCAGGCCATTGGCTACACCCTGAGTGGAGTGTCAGTATCCCCCCAGCCCTACATGACCCCTGTCCTCCCCTAGCACACCCTGAATTATCTCACTCTGCCAGGGATTCCTAGCCTGCAGGCAAGCCAGTTCTCCCCCACCCCAGTCAGGGCCTCATCATATCCCTCACACATGATCCAGACCCAGAAGGATCTCAGGCTGCCCTCCACCCCACCCCACCCCCGCCTTTTTTTTTTTCTGAGACAGGAGAGGGCTCTCTCCCAGGGTAGGTCAGCTTACTCTAGCTCTAGCCGACACCCACCCACCCCCACATTGGTTCTGTGACCTCTCAGGGCACGGTGACACCAGCAGCCACTTAATACTCAAAGACCATCCCTTGCGAGCACTACTCCAGTGCCAGGGAGCCTCCGTCAGTGAGCACCAAGGCCTTGCTGGCTCTAACCCAGGCCCTGCCCAGAAGAAGAGGGCCTCCCTGCATGGAGAGCTCCCTGAGCTTCTCCTTGGAAGAGGTCAGCCCCTCTCCATTCTTTGCCTCCCTCCCGGGGTACCCCACTTCCACAGGGCTTTCCTACCCAGATCTGTCTACCGCTGACACCTCCCCAGAGCAATGAGCAGGACGGGATGTTGTTGTCCCCATTAGACAGAAGGGAAAAGCAAGACCTGGAGAAAGGATGGTGGCAAGACCAGGAACTAGGGCCCAACTCCCACTGCAGGGCTCCTTCCAGGTCTTTTAACTGCCATTCTTGTGAGAGCCTACAGGAGGGCAGGGTGCCGGCGCTCACCAAAGCCTCCACCAGGTGCCCAGCTGCTCCGCCTTCCAGATCCGCAAGACCCTGAAGGCACTGAGAGGGGTGGGTGAGCCAGGGCTTCTAGCCTTGGTTCCAAAGTGGACACCTAAATGGTCACCTGGACTGGCAGAAGGCTGCTGTGGTAAGGCTGCTGAGGGGCAGGCAGAAAGGAGTTGAGAGGGGTTCCCCAGCCCCAGATGCACCTCTCTCTCTCACCTGTTGGCACTTCTTCCACCTCCTGGCGTGTCCCCCTAGTATCACCCATCCCTGCAGTAAAGAAGGCCTCAGCCTCCGAGTCCTGAAACAGCCTCCTGGCACCACTCCTTGCCAAAATCCCAGGAGGCTTGCCACCACCGTCCATGTGAAGTCTGACCCCTGCAGCCAGGCACAGGAAGCCCTTCGTGTGGGCCTCTGCCAGCCTTTATAGCTTCTTTGCCCACTTGCTTCACTGTATCTCCAGCAGGCTGACCACACCGAACTGTGTGTCCTCCCCCCAGGGCAGAGCGAAGCATGGCTCAGATGCGGGACACGCAGCTGTGTGCACACATCCCCACACACACACATCCCCACACACACGTGCACAGATGTGCATACAGACGCAGACACACGGTGTGCAGAAGCCCGTCACCCAACCCTGTGTGGTTTTCTACCAAATCATACATGCAGCGGAACTGTGAAATCTAAGCCAAAAAGGGACGACAAATCTGTTTTGTGTTCCAGGGCAGGCCAGGTGTGGTCACATCACCATCCCTAAGCCGTCGAGGGTCAGCAGGGAGGCAACAGGGGATCTCTAACTCTGGTTGAGCTCTCTCTGGGCTCCAGGGTCTCTGAGCCCCACAGGGTGTGGGCAAGCAGGTCTCGACCTGGCTCTCCTTCTGGTTCTGTGGCAGACTTGCTGGGCAGCCCCAGACAAGCCACCTTCCCTCTCCATTTCTCCAGCTACAAAATATAGGGACTTGGATTAGCCGATACCTAAGGGCTGTCCAGGCCCACTGCCCAGCTCTTCTTAGTACATGCCAAGTACAGAGAGCAGAAGGGCCTGTAAAGGTGGCAGCAGTGTGAGCGTGGGGGGCGCTGGACGCCCAGCGTGGCAAAAGCCTCCAGGTGGGGCAGGGAAAGCTTCAGGGAATGGAAATGAGGTGGGCGCAGGGGCAAGAGGAACCTGAGCCAGGAGAGAAGGAAGCCAAGAGCCACAGGATGGGAGCAATTATTTTGACCCATAATTGGAATTTATGGAGCAAATAGTAAGTCCTATTGAACACTCACCATGCAACGTCTATCTCATATTGTCATCTAGATTGAAGCCAAATATATCTGTTCTCATCTTGGGGATACCAAATGGGCAAAGCTAATGGGTTAGGCCCCATCCAGCCCCTGGCCTCCCAGCCCCCACAAACACAGGCATATGGCAAGGGCCAAAGAGGCACAGGGGTGCCCTCTGGCAAGACCCCACCCACACCCAAACCCCTCAGCAGGCATGTAAGTGGCCTAGTGCACAAGTAGCAGCCCATCCCCTACCTCTGGCCACCCACATGTGTGTGCTCACATTCTGTTCACACACACACACACACACACACACACACACACACACACACACACACACATTGAGGACAGGGCAGACAAACACTCAAACTTCTGCCACAGGCCCGGCCCTCCTATCCTGCTCTTGCCTGGAACTTGACACCCCGCACTAACACTCACACTCCCAAGGGCAAGGACTGAAATAAGGAGGTTGTCAGAGGAGCAACAGGGCGCAGGCATCTCCACGTAGGGATCGTCCCCCAGATTACAACCCCGCCATCAGAGGAAACTCCGCACCATTAGAGAAGGAAAGGAAGCGGTGCCCTGTATCCGGGGGGTGCCTACTCCCCTCTTCCCTAAACCTCCCTGGCCTCCAGAGCCTGGTTCACGTGACTCGCCTCAGCTTGTCCCCAGGTCACGAACCATGTGCCAGCTAGGCTGTCCAGAGCCCAAGTAGGCGAAAGGGAGACACTTCCCAGGGAGAGGGTGTGCCAGCCCTGGCCCAGAGCCCCTCATACCCTTGGAGACGAGGGCACAGCCAGGGTGGAGGGGACCAGCAGGAGCAGCCCCAGGCCTCGCTGTTCTCTATGGCTTTTTATTCCTATGTGATTTTACTGCTCACTCATATAGGGATTGGAGCCGTGGCGTACGGCGGGGGCGGCCAGCGGAGGGCTCGGATCCTGAGCAAGGGGGCCCAGAAAGAGGTAGGATGGCAGCCCTGCCCTCTCCTACCACAGGCTGCTAGCCTAGCCGAGGGAAGCCTTCCTCTTGCTCTCTTCCCCCACTGACCTCTTCCCTAGCCAACGGGTAACAGGGGGGCAGGTGGCTGCTGGACCCCCTCCATCTTCTGACCCACCATCTCAGCACTGGAGACCCCCACTGCAAGACTGGCACCAGGAACTGCACCGTGTCCCAAAGCAGCAGCTACAGAAACCGGGACTTCAGCTTGAGGAAATGGGCCTGACACAAGGAAACAAGGTCCAGAATCCTGCGTGGCGGCGAACAACCGCTGGACACACAAAGGGCAGCTCAACCAACAGTGTGGCCTGTCCCTAAGGGCTGTCCAAACACAGAAGGGGAGATCAGTCCTAGCGGCTAGTGGGTCACACCCAGCAAGGTATGTGGCACAGCCTGGAGGCTGTAATGGGGAGACCACAGGGGTCACAGGTGGACAGCTGGCCTGTCCCTCTCAGACCCCACAGGCTGCAGGCCTTTGGCCTGTCCTCCCAGGGGTCTCTGCTGGCCTACAATGAGTGTGTCAGAGGCCAAGCTCTACCTTCCTAAGCTCCTGTTTCAGGGAAACAAGTGCGGAGTGTGCCCTGCAGAGAGGGGGATGGGGAACCCCTAGAGAGGCGCAGTGCTGGGGCTACAGCCTGACCCCATTTCCAGCAGCTCGGAGTCTTTGCTCTGAGGGAGAAGACACAGAGAATCCATAGTGTGGCTCTGTTTATTTGCAGTCCTTCTCACTTCACCCCATAGAAAAGACACTCAAGAGCTCAGCAGAGGGGCTGCCTGCTGTTGGGGAGAAGACCAGGAATAGCCAACGGGCCAAGGGGCTCATCCCAATCTTCAGGGTTAGCTGCTGTCATGACCAAGAGGAGGGAGAGGAGAAGGCCCCAATCTGCCAGTCTGGCTGGGGGAACGAGCACAGAAAAGAGGCCCAGGGTCAACAGAGCAGCCACTGCCAAGGACAGAAGGGGCCCTCAGGCCTGGTTAGGCCTTGGGGACCAACCCTGGTCTGCCCCAGGTTGCTGCCCCGTAGGTCTCCTCTGCACTCAACCATGATCCACGCCATCACCGCGGCCGCAGGAACAGGAGGTGGGCGTCCATGACGTTGGTCCCAGTCAGCCCCGTGTGCAGCAGGTGCGCCCCGCCTCGGAAGCAGCGGAAGAAGGTATGAGAGTCATTGCGGGATAGGAAGGCAGCCACGTCCAGGCCCTCAGCGGCAGCCTGGCTGGCAAGCTCGGGTACGACCCAGGCCCCAGCTGCCTCTGTGGGCCCATCCTGTCCATCAGTGCCACCACTCAAAAACAGCACCTCCAGAGACCCCAGTGGCCATTGTCCCAGCTCTGCTCCGACACGTAGAGCCAGTTCCTGGTTCCGGCCACCCTTTCCTGAGCCCTGCAACTGCACAGTGGGCTCACCACCAGCCAACAGGCAGACAGGGCCCCCAGCCCCCACCACGGCCTCCAGGGCCTCCTTGAGCTGCAGGTCTGGGAGCTGGAGCTCAGCTGCCAGCTCCCAGAGTTGTGCCTCCTCCTCCACGGAGGCCCCAGTCCCAGGCGGGGTGAGGTGGGCTCCGACCACTTGGGTGAGCAACCTGTAGAACCGGGCCACACTTTTCACGTCACCCTGTATGGCTGCGCTCAGCACCACGGCCCGGTACCCAAGTGCCTCGGCCTGCCGCTGGGCCTCAGCCAGGGCCAGCGCATTTGAGCCAATGATCACGTTGAGCACGTGACCACAGCTGTGCGGCCCGTGAGGGTCAGAGTCAGACCGAGCCAACACGGTCTTCACGGAACGGGGCAGGGCAGCTCGAAGGCCGTAGTGATTGAGGATGTGCAGGCAGTCTTGCACGCTGTGGACACTGGCCACGGTGGGGCCGCTGGCGATCACCTCCACTGGGTCCCCCACCACGTCTGACAAAATCAGGCTCACCACCTGGGGAAGGGTCGCAGAGGGCAAGGCTCAGTCCCTCCGGTGCCTCACGCCACGGTCACTGAGGACAAGCGGCCACGTATTCTAACCCCTCTCCTGGGGGTCTGCAGACCATGTGGCCATCTGGACACCCCACTCCCATCCTCTCTGGCGCCCCTCCCAGCCAGCCCTGTGGACTCCCACACCGGGATCCTGCCAATTTGTATGCTGTTCCAGGCTTTTGTTCCCTGGCACGTGGGTCTGGCTCTACCAGCCCAGGGCTGCCTAGGGAAGCAGGGACCCACACACCTGGGCAGGGTAGGCAGCTTGAGCCAGCCCCCCACCCTTGAGCTGGGACAAGGCCTTCCGGATGGTGTTCAGCTCCTGGATGTTGGCTCCACGGGCTGCCAGCAGCTTGGTGAGTGTCTGCTTTTCTTCCAGTGTCACAGGCGGAATAGGGGCAGGGAGCAAGGCTGAGCCCCCACCTGCAGAGACAGTGAAGAAATTGGGCAGAGGGGATAAGACTGCAAAGGAATCTCTCCACTTAAGGAAGCAGGCAAGCAGTACCCACATTAGGGAAGGGGCTGCTGGAAAGCTGGGGTTAGGGTGACCCCGTGTGGAGATGTAGGGAACGTGTATACAGTCACCACAACCTGGGCACCTGAGGCTGTGCTCTGCTTCGCAGCCCAGGTCCCAGCAGGCACTGGAAGAACTATTCCTTTAGCGCTTGAAATAGAGTAGACCAAGAGGAGACATTGAGACCAAGGACGGATTCCATAGGAGCTAGAGACCTGGGTTCTAGCCCCAGGTCACACTGGCACAGATGGCAGCAACAACAGGGACAATTTACCCATGACACCCTGAGTTACATGCTCCCTATATTCCCTCCCATGGTCACCAAACAAAATCAGTCAGGGGAGGACCCCACAGCTCCAAGAAGGCAAGATAACCTGCCCAGGGCCACCCAGAGGTCAGCCATCCAGGCTCCTTACTGTCTCCCTTGCTCTGGGACCCTGGGAGCTCAGACCAACCATCTCTCGCAGACCTGGTATTTGCAACCACCACCAGCCCCCGCTACACTGTCCTGAGCCAGTCTGGCACCCACACCTGAGATGAGTACAAGCAGGAGATCGTCAGCTGTGAGACCTTCGGCCAGTTGCCGGATGGCCAGTGCAGCCCGAAGTGCATCTCGGTCTGGGAGGTTGTCCTCTGCACCCTCAAATACCTGGACACGGCTGTGTGGCTTCAGCAGCATCTCCCTGGAGAGAGGGAGAGAACAGACAGCAAGAGATGAGGTGGGCTCCTTTCCTCCCACCTGATTTCTCAGCTGTACGGGTGAGGAAGACCAACTGACACCCATGCCGGAGCCAGTCCAGACCCTGAACAAATGGGATGCTGGTGAGGGAGGGAGGCCTGATCCAGCATTGGGTTTGGGCCTAGCTTCCCCTCCCGGGGCACAGTGGGCAGAAGCCTCCCCCCAGGGCTCTTACTGCTTGCCAGTATGCTCCATAGCAGCACGAATCCCCTTGGGCACGCTGATCACACCCTGCACGAGATGCTGGCCCAGGAGCTCCTCCGCTGCAGCGGCCATGCCCAGCACAGCCTTGCCAAAGCCCACCAGATAGAGGTTTTGACGCAGCTGAAAGCTCCGATCCCGCACCTTCAGCAGCCCACTGCCAGGATCCAAGCACAGTGCCCGGTGCAGCATGGGGCCTGGAAGCACGGCCCCCACAGTGCTCTCGAAGAGCTGCTGTGCCTGCTCTGCCAGGGCCATGCCGCTGGCCAGCCGGACCACCGGGATCCCCATGAGGAGCGGGCGTAAGAGGGCTCGGGCCACGCAGGGCAGAACCTGCAGGACCACAGCCATGCCCCACTGCTCTCAGCACCACCGGGCACCCATGGCTGCCTAGGGGAAAGAAAGCACCAGTGAGGCTGCTGGAAGCAAGACCAGAGACAGACAACCCCCACAACAGCCACCTCTCTGAGGGCTTGGGGCCGCTGGACCCCACAGGGGCTGCTGCAGTGGGCCATCTGCCAGCCCAAGACTTTCTGAGGCCCTCAGCTGCCTGATCTCATGCCAGTTCTCAGAACCCAAGCCTGCCACCTACCATAGCCTCCTCTTCTGCAGGTTATCCTCCGGCCCTCTGGCCACTCTGCCCTGAGTCCAAAGGTCCTGTTCGCTGAGCCCTCCCCCTAGGCCACCCATTCTGGCCCGAGAGTTAATCATTCACAGAGGCAGCAAACCGCAAGGTCCTGCCCCAACCCTTTTCCACCCCCTGTACTTCTGAGCGTTCATCCAGAGGCAACACCCCTTTCTGGGACAGCGTCCCTGCCCCTTTATCACTTCTGTTGCCAAGAGGCTGCTGGCTGTCCCACCAACTGACTGAGCCTTACGACCTGCAGCATGCTCTGTGTCACTGGCTTGCGGATCTGGGCTGGGGAGCCTGGGAAGGCTAGGTCTGTGTGGGGAGGCTGTAGGTTCACAGGAGCACTGACAGGCAGGCTCAGAGCACATCCTCAGGACACACAGCCTGAGGAATCCCAGCAGTCCAAGGTCAGTCTAGCAAAAGGTTCAGGTTCAAATGAGAAGTGGCAGCAAAGACTGGCTCATGCTGGAAACTTAGAGAAGTCCCTAGACACCACATTGAGGCGGGGCCCAAGCTGCAGGACAGAAAAGAACACCCTTCCACCTACCTGGCTGGCCAGACCCAGCCCTGCCGAGAACACACATTTCACTCTAACAAGACAAGTCTTGGGTCATACATACCACCCACCCACAGGAGTGAGAGCTGAGTGTCTGGAGCAGGAAAGGCCAGGCTCCTACAGCTAAGGCCAAATAGTCTTTTTCCCCACTGGGCAAGGTAAAAGGCCAAAGAAGCCTTGGGGTGAAGGTCAGGAGGCTGTAAAAGAGTTCAGGGACAATGAAGCCCCAAAGAGATCATCTCTAAAAAAGGCATCTACTTTAACAATGCCCACCGTAAATGCTAGTGGCCGACTGCAGCAGCAAGCATGGACAGCAGGGGAAGGAGGCTGGGAATCAGGCTCCAGCTCCACCATGGTGACAGCTCCTTTCTTCATTGGGCCTCATGTGCAAAATGAGAGATGGGATCAAAGACTAATGCTTCCCTCTTGACATCCTTGGCCTCTCTGAGCTGCCAGGTTAATACAGAAAGCCTGAACTCAAGACACTTTATCCCACACTCAAAAAAACCTAACAACCTGTAGCCCTCAGCCATCTCGCCAGCATGGTTCTCACCTTTCCCGTAAGACCAATGCTGCCTGACTCCAGCCCTGAAAGGGAACACCACAGAGGACGCTGCCTTGGGGACTCAGAAAATGGGCTCAGCTTTTGCCAGGAAGCCCCTGGGACTGGCCCATTGGGCTAGGAACCAAAAGCGGCTTAGAATCTAGCAACAACTTGACAGCCTGGGTGAACTTTGTACCTGTTTCCCAGATGGACACAAGCCTAGAGGACCCCAGCCTGGCCACGGTCTACTAGGGCCCAGGAGAGGATGAGGGTGAGAATGGAGGGTCTTCAAGGGTTAAAATACAAGACGTCCAGTTAAATTTGAACTTCAAATAAACGAGAAATTTTTAAGAATGTAAGTATGTTCCACACAATATTTGAGACATGCCTACACTAAATAACTATTGGTTGCTTATCTGAAATTCAAATTTCAGAGCTGCTAACCAGCCACTCTCCAGCCAGGACAGCCTCTCAAACTAACTCTCAAGCCCTCCAGAACCAAGCGCGGAAACCCCGCGAAGCCCCTCCTTGACTCTGCTCCGCCACCAAGTAGGGCTGGAGCCACTTCCGGCCTTCCCCGGAAGTAACGTCAGTCTCAAGTCTTTGCGAGGGAAGTGGCTGCCGCGTGATGTCCGGTGGTGACCGGAGAAAGAAGTACCCGCCGCCCCCTGGACCCGCCACTGCCCGGCCAAAGGACTGCTTCCGTGGGCCTTCGCGCCGTGGACTTACCGCTCCACGGCTCCCGGCCGCAGTTTCCGGTACCGGGGGCCGAAAGTACTCCCGGGTGGGCGGAGCGGAATCCGGAAGTGTGGTGGGAGGGGCGGGGTTGGGGTGCCGGCGGGAGCCGGACGCGGTGAGGTGGGTAGAAGGAGTCGCGGCTGGGGGATTGGCTCCGCCCTGACCTCTGGCAGGCTTGGATGGAATACCGTTTTGGCTTCATTGCCTTCGTCTCTGCAGTGGGGGCAACAATCCCTGACTTATCGATTGCCTTAACCGTCCGCTGCTTTATCCCCTAGGAGCCCATCCGTCAGCACGTACATTCCATTGGATTAGGTGCCTGGCACAGGACTGAGCAGACGGGCTGAGAATTACTACTTCCCCACAATCCACCCCTTCTGGAGCCAGATTAAATCACCCTGGCTCTTCCCCACCGCTATAATCCCCCAACAATTTTGTGTTCGCCCCTCTCCCTGTTGGCCAACCTAGTAACAGCTCGGACTTGGAAAGTTCAGTCCCGTGATCCTTGAACACACAAGCTGTGTATAAACAACGAATGATCCTGGGCCAGCCTGTGTGCACCCTTGAGCCCTGTGGAGGCCGAGAAAATTAAGGCCATCCCACCTCAAGTTTAACGTTAGCACAAGTACAGCCCTCTTAGCTTTGGCATCCATCTCAGCTGTGACCAGGGGCTGAACTCTACCCTATTTTAGTTACAGGAAAAACCGCTATACCCCACCCTGCAAACACCCCGGCAACAGCTAATCAGCTTGCTGCAGGGAAGTCTGAAATTTCCCCACTTCCCCTCACCCCCCAAGCCTCTGGTAACCACACATAAAAACCCCTTGTTTGGCAGGTCTGGGGCTCTCGCTCCTGTGCCGCTGTGCTGGTGACAGTCATGAGCCAGGACTCTAATCCGAATAAAGACCCTTGTGTGTTTGCATCGGTGTTGGCTCCTTGGTGGTCTCTCGGACTCGAAACTTGGGCACAACAAGCCCGACTTGATGCCTTCCCACATTCGAAAGACAAGTGCTGACCAGACTCTAAAGACACAAAAGAGTGCATTTTTAAAACTGATGTTTTCTTGGGGAGGAAGGGAAGGGAGTTACATCACAAATCACACAGTAGACTTTCCAAAAAATCTTAAACATATGCCCCCCTTCCCTTTTTTTTTAAAAGATTTTATTTATTTGACAGACTGAGATCACAAGTAGGCAGAGGCAAGCAGAGAGAGAGAGAGGAAGAAGCAGGCTCCCTGCCGAGCAGAGAGCCCGCTGCGGGACTCGATCCCAGGACCCTGAGATCATAACCTGAGCTGTAGGCAGAGGCTCAACCCACTGAGCCACCCAGGCGCCACCCCCTTCCCTTTTGCAGTTGCCACATCTCTCCATATCATGTTCTGCTCTCATGAACTCCTACCTCCTTCCTAACTTTGTCTGGATTTTTCTTTCCGTTTATAATAGAGGACCTTTTATTCCCTATCATTCTCTCCCAAACTTCCCCACTCCATCCTTAAAGTGAAGGCACCTTCGGGAGGATCTGCCCTCTTTAGATGTGGGGAGATGATAAATACTTGAATGTTCAGTTTTTCCTTGCTTATAGTAAGAAGTCTTTATCCATTTTGAATTTATTCATTCCTCCACCATTCAACAGACATTTCCTGACCTATGTGGGTCAAATGCTATAGCTACGGGGATGAGTAAGAAGTGGTACTTTTCTGTTGGGAATTTTACTTTGCTTTTGTAATGATAGTCCCACACTGCTGGAAGGAATGTGTATTTAAGGACCTCTTTCATTATTTACTGCCAGAGATGGATGAACAGACACCACTTACTGTGCCATTGCTATTCTGTTGGAGTGTAAGCAGGATTATGCCCATTTTTGAAATCCCCCATCCCATCCCATAGCTACTCACAAGATCTATTTAACATCAGGTTTAGATGCCCACTGGACTGTGAGGTCTTAGAAGGTGATGACTTGGTCTAATTCATATTTACATCTCTACTGCCTTGCATAGGACCAGGCAGGGTCCTATAGCTGGGATTGCTATTTTTTTTCTTTTGTCCCCCCACTTTATTTCCTTCTTTTTTCAATGAATTAACTAGAGAATAGTGAAGTACTCGGCTACAAAGTGCTGCAGACCCAAGGTGGAAAGAATCTCACAAAAGGAAAAGAGATGGTGGTGAGTAGAAGTAGAAGCCTTCATGAAGCAGTGGGATTTAAGTCTAAGAAAACAATTAGGCTCATGAGACTGCATACACATACCTTGAGAGTAGGCATGAATATGTCTACCTTTTTTTTTATATAATGTTAGCTACTTTATTGTTTCCAAGATTTTATTTATTTATTTGAGAGAGAGAGAGAGCATGTACAGAGGAAGGGGCAGATAGCAGACTCCCTGCTGAGCTTGGAGCCCAACGCAGGGCTCCATCCCAGGACCCTGAGATCATGACTGAAGGGGAAGTCAGAAGCTTAACTGACCGAGCCAACCAGGCTCCCCTGTCTATAGTCTTTTTAAGTGCACTTGGGCTAAATAAGTATCAATGTCAAAAATGTGACAGGCGATTTCAGTCCAAGGAAATAACTGGTTGTGTAGATGAACATGATGCAGGGATGGGGTGCCTGGGTGGCTCAGTCGGTTGAGCATCCAACTCTTGGTTTCAGCTCAGGTCATGATCTCATGGGTTGTGAGATCGAGCTCCACATAAGGCGAATGCACGCTCTCTCTCTCTCTCTTACTCTGAAAATAAATCTTAAAAAAAATAAAGTGATTGTAGGAGAGGAAAAAACTTTTCCCTCTATTCTCTTAGGTTCAGTGGCTGAGGCTCTGGGACAAACTAAACTGACAGAAGACAGATTAACAGGAGAAAAAAGTTTATTTCCTATGTATATGGGGGGCCTCACAGAAACAAAGTAAAAACCCCAAAGAAGCCATTAGGCCTGAGAGCTTATATACCATTTTCAACAAAGAGTGATAAATTTGAGAAATGTGACAAGACAAAAGGAGTTCAAACTTCTCGGGGCAGTAAATTGTGGGAAAGTATACATGGGGGAAGCTAATGGAAGATAAGGATTGCTGTAGTAAGATTTGTTTGTACAGATTCATCTTGGCCTTGGCTTTTCATCTCCTGGTACAGGAAGGACTCCTTTCTCATGGGAAATTTATGACCTGCTTTTAGGTAGGAAGGAAGAGGGAAGGGAGCCTTTTCTGCATCTATTCTCAAATGCCTTCAACTCAAAATAATCCTTATTCCGAAGTGGCGTGTTTTGGGGTGGCATATTCTAATCCCCTTCAAATGGACCTGAGATATTCAGCCCAGAGCTGTTAGGATCTAAAAACCCATTGATAAGAGAATTTATACAAATAAGTTATAGTACTTCTAAACACATTAAAAATGGTTTTCTAATGTTACTAAGACTTATATACATGTTACTTTTTGCAGTGCTATTTTATGTTTTAAAATATTTTTTGAGGGGCGCCTGGGTGGCTCAGTGGGTTAAAGCCTCTGCCTTCAGCTCAGGTCATGATCCCAGGGTCCTGGGATCAAGCCCCGCATCGGGCTCTCTGATTAATAAGGAGCCTGCTTCCTCTTCTCTCTCTGCCTCTCTGCCTACTTGTGATCTCTATCAAATAAATAAATAAAATCTTTAAAAAAAAATAAAGACTATACCTAAGAAAGCATTAAAGAAAAAAAACTATTGAAAAGACCACTTAAGGGGCGCCTGGCTGGCTTATTCGATAGAGCACATGACTTCTGATCCTGGGGTTGTGAGTTTAAGCCCCACACAGGGTGTAGAACTTACTTTAAAAAAAAAAAATCACTTAAGTCAAGTATAAGCCTTCCCCATTATTCAAGCAAGCCAAAAGAGAGAAGGCAATGTTCTGGGGTACAGTACTCATACGCTTTTGAGAGAGGGTTTACTAAATTTATTGATTTGGATTAAGCTTTAACTTAAATGTTCCCATTTAGAGCAAAGGAGGAGGTCCCCCCTGTGTGATGTTAGGTTATCAGTGACCAAGGGAAGGTGGTACTAATGGCCCCCATCTCCACTAACAGTGCTGCATCTCAGAAGTTCAATGTGGATAAAGTACTTGGTCCCTATAACTCTGAAATCACCCTCCCACCCCTGCACACAAGCTCAGGAGGCGCACTGGGGTAGTGAATGGTACAAATACAAATGACAACAGCGCTCAGTCTTGGGCTTTCTGACTTGGAACTTTGCTATAAGTAAGTCCTGCTTGAGGGAGAAACTGATTAAATGTGACTGCAGCCATCTGAGGTTTCAGATGCCTGAGGAGGTCAAGAGTGCTAGTGCATACTGTCAGTCCAGCAGAGCCAGCAGCCAGCCCCCTAAACTACCCGCTCCTCTATCGACATCTACCCTGCTGTCCTCCAGCCTCAAACCAGGGCGGTGGTTACGAGTGCTATTTACCACCCAAGTCCAGTTCTCTCCCCCTCCAGCACTTCCTGGCCCCCTTTTGCTTGAGAAGGGTCATTTGACTAGTTCTGGGCAATGAGTAGCAAGTAGAATCGGTGTGATTCATTTGGGGGCAGTTAACTGCCCAAGTGAGGCCTTCCTGAGCATTTTTCCCCTGGACTTGGCAACCAGCAACATTCAAGATGGTGGCTTCTTTGCCAACCTAAGCCCTGAGTGACTGATAGGAAGAGCCACCCTGCCAACCTACAAAGGATGGGTATTGAAAGTGGAAAATAAACCTTTGATGTTTAGAGCCACTAAGATGTGGGAAAACAAAACAGAACAAAAGTCACTAAGATGTGGGGGACTGTGTTATTGCACCGCGACCTAGCCTATGCTGGCTGATATGCACACTTTACCCTGTTGCAACTCGGTTTCAGGTGCATCTTAGAATCTTGATCTACTCTTGGTATCGTATCATCTGAAAAACATTGGTTCTCACTGGCGTTCATCCTGCTAGATGCACCAAGAGCTGAAGAATATCTTCCTGTGCATTCACAAACCCAGGAGAGGCTTACGCACTAACCACTACTACAAGGCAGGAGCACAAAGCAGAAAGCAGCTTCCGTGAAAAGTTCTTTGCCTCAGTCTTGGGTTTCTGTGGCACGGCAGATTTTCGGTCCATCAGTTCACGCGGAGTCTTTCTTCTTTATTGCATTTTAATTGTGACTGGACAAAAATAAATGATAGCAAGAATTCAGGACCGGCAAGAAATGTAGGATGGAGGTAGAACCAAGCATAATGAATAGGAACGTATTCGGTCTTTTCTCCAGTAAGATGCACTCAGTTTGGAGATTCAGTGTGGAAAGATTGTGAATATCATACTGCATCCCTAAGAGAACCTATAAGACGTTCTGTCACCTTAAAGTCCACTGTGAAAATAAAGTCGTGATTTTTAAAATTTATTTATTTATAAAACCTGAGATAAGTCAGAGGCTCTCCGTCCTCAGCTCCAAACTGGAAGCAGATGCCTCCGCAGGGAGGCACTCCTGAGTTCGATGTGAGGATGGAGTAGTGAAGGGCCACTCGGTGGGAGGGAGAGGGTCAGGAGGCAGGGAGGGGCAGAGCTGGCTTTACTGAAGGCCGTGAAACCCCCCAGCTATTTTCTTTGGTAGAAGGGGTGGGGGATCCAATCGGTGCACCCGGAAGCAACTCCGCAGGGACCAATGGGGGCTGCTTAAATTCGATCAGAAAGGGTTTTTAAGCCTTTTGAAACAGTTCTGTAGGCTTAGAGGCAGAGGCCCTGGGGCTCTAGGCAGCCCTTCCTGGGTCTGGGCAGTCTAGGCTTATCTGGGAAGAACCCATCCCTTCCTTCCAGAACAAAAAGGCATTGTTTACCAACAATGGACTTTTTAAAATGTGAATGATTACCTACCCTTTGCCCTAGAAACAGGGCTGGAACGTTCCAGTCGGAAGCAGAATGTGAATCCAGGCTCTAGGCTTATTGGCTGTGTGACT